TGCAGTGGCTTGAATAAGCAAGGGAGACGTGTCAGACTTTTGTAGTCAACTGGCTCCTAGTTGTAGGCGTGGAGGAATCTTTCTGCTAAGATGTCCTTTATGCTCTGTAAACTTGCAGCTAAACTTTTTCCTCTGTTCATGGTATAGATGAAACCCTGATGATAAATGTTCTATGTGGTGTTCTTTCGGGAGTAATTTCATCAGCTATTGCCAACCCTACAGATGTCTTAAAGGTAATTATGCCTTGTGTAGCTTGTCTTTAGGATATCTTTTGCATATCCTCCAGGAAAAAAAAAAAGTATGGTGATGTGTGTGGGATTCTGTTTTGTAACACTTATTCTCATTTTTTAAACTACCTTTTAAAAAAATGTAGTCATGTCCTGAATTCTTGGAACCTTCTTATGGTTCCCCAATAGTTACTTAGAAGCATGTCCTGGGAAGCTGATGGCTTGAGAAGGAGTTGGATCTGTGTTTATTTACTTTTTTTTGAAGGAAGGAAAAAAAATCATTTAAAAATACTGTTTTGTAACTTTCATGCGATAGTGTATGTGGAAGCCCCACTGCATATTTTAATTGGGGAGCTTAATTTTCTTGTAATATGGCTTGTTTAGAAGGATTCTAGAGCCTAAATATGTGGAAGTCTCTTTAGAGGTGAGAATTTCAGTGACTAATGTTTAGGTTGTAAGATTCTTGAAAATCCTACAGTCAAGATGATCTTGCTTCCGTTAAGAGGTTTTGTAGTGTAGTGCTCAGCTACTTATTTGAATTGAATCTGTGAAACCATTGCCTCTTCAGGATCTGTTTAATGATACTTGAACCTTTTTCCCTTTAATAGACATGTCAGTGGTATTTAACTTACAAAACTGTGTGACTTAGGTGTCTGTTTCTTATCATATTTTAGTATCTGTTTCAAGAATGGCTTCAACTGGTTATTTCTGATAGCTACATCCCCATGCCAACTTGCTTGTCACCAAAAGGGTATTTTTGGTAGTTAAAAGGACAGTTTCCTAAGAACATTGTCAGAAATCTGAGAGATCATAGAAGTTATATCTTACTAGCTGAAACCTTAATCTCTTAACCTTTTCATTTTAAGAGGTTCCTGTCAGAACGTGATAAAGGACACTTTGCAGAAAACCATCTGTCAGTCTAGTCTAAATGGGGATGAATATAGAAATAGAAGTGACTTCATACAGCCAAGAATTACACCACATCCACCTTGAAAACTAGCAACTGCAAGCACAGGATAGTTAAGGCACTTGCAAAGATTGCATTGTGGTTATGGTAAAACCAGCTATCAATTTGTATTCAAGGGGAAAATTGACTTTTAGCTAGCAATTTACAGTGATACAACTGTGCAATGATACAGCTATTTTGAACCTTATATTGAAGAAGTACTTACGTTTTGTTTTGATCTTCAACTATATCTCAGATCAGAATGCAAGCCCAAGGTAGTATGATACGAGGAGGAATGATGGGCAACTTTATACAGATCTACCAAAACGAAGGCACCAAAGGATTATGGAAGGCAAGTTTTTGAATTGCTTATCTAGAAGTATTATCTGATATACTTTTTTTTATATCTTGCTCAGATAAAACACTTGCAGTGTTTTTAACCAAAATATGGAAGGAGCAATAGCAAAGTTGAATGTAGTTTCTCATGACTTTGTTTTACATTAAAGCTAATGACCATGCACAAAGTTTTCACCTTCAGCTATACCCTTTTTGCCAGGGGGTATCCCTTACTGCGCAGAGAGCAGCTATCGTTGTTGGAGTGGAGCTGCCAGTATATGACCTCACCAAGAAGCACATAATCATGTCTGGATTTATGGGGGACACAGTGTATACTCACTTCCTGTAAGTTATGGCTATAAGGGCTTACATTACTTAGTTGCATAACTCAAAAATCACTGTAGAAGATGCATCTTTTATTTTTGAACTCTTCAGAAGATAAATTGCCTTGTTGCTTTATTGTCTGTTTTATCAGTCCAGATGTAAATATAATTCTGATATTTCTTAATACAATAGCATCTCAAATAGCAGGGAAGTTAATAGTTTTGAAAAATCCCAAATAAAACTTGGTTTTGTAGATGGTCTGAACCATTAAGTTGTGCAAATTGAGCTTAGAGGAAAGTTTCATTCAAATGTTTATGCATCTGCAAAAAGCAAACATCTGTTTGAATATCCTGTACCATATGCAAGGCCTGTATATCAGAGCTTCAGAAGGATGCTTTGTAGTAAATGGAAAATAGTTTTAGCAACTACTATGTGATGTGACTTTAACTCAAAGTATTAAAAGCAGCCATCATTATGGCATCGTCTAGGGAAATTTTTGCCACTGTAAATGTGACGGATCAAACTTCATTACTGCTCTCTGTCACTAGCTCGAGTTTTACTTGTGGGCTAGCTGGAGCCATAGCGTCGAACCCGATCGATGTTGTGAGAACGCGCATGATGAACCAGAGCTGGCAAAATGGGGCACACTCCAACTACAAGGGTACTCTGGATTGCTTGCTACAAGTAAGTACAGTTTGTTTGCTAACAGAAGTAAAAGTTTGTACCATTGAGCAAGAATTTTTGGTGTGGAACTTGAAATTGTTCAAAATTCTCTAGAAATTAATCCACATAAAGCATATTTAGTATTTACTCGGCCCTCAAGCTGTTTAGCCAATAACTCATTTAGCTTAAAATGTAACTGTTGTCCTGATAGAAGTACAGGGGGAGGATCATGTAGTACATTTGTTGCAGATGGATTTTATTTTCTTCTCGCACTTGCATCAGAAAACAATCTCTTGGTAGTATTGTCTCTTACTTAGTTTGAAACAACATCAGAGCACTGAAATCATTGTTTCCTACTTAGCTCTCAAACAGCACTGTCTGGGGCATGTGGTAGCATTGTGTTGCGCTCTAGGTAATGGGAAGCCTCATACAAAGGCAATGCAGGAGAGCAAGATGGTCCTCTACATGGAAGAGTGTGGGTAGGAAGCTGTTGATTGGACAAAGAAGAGCAAGAGATCCAGGACTCCATGGGAAGACAGTTGCAAAAACATGACTACTTGTGGATGAGGAACGTAGAAACCTTTTTGTAAAGGAGTCAGGCTGGAATTAAAATCCTCCTAGTGAAGCTTCCTTCTAGAAACCAGCCAGAGAAATGCAACAAACTTCAAACCCTTTTTTTAATCAGGAAGTTGTTTTCAGGTCCTTCCTATTTCAAAGCTGGAGGTTCAGTTAGCAGATGAATTTTGTAACAACTACCTGATGGTGTGGAGGGAAGCCAATTATACCACAAAAGACCATGGCTTTGGCAGTTAGTGGATTGAATTGTAAGAAAACAAAGCTCAGAATGCCAAGAATCCCTTTTCTAGTAGGGATCTGAAGGCTGTTTCCTACATCTGCTATTACACTCCTTTGCTTACCAATAGCATTTCTTGGCTATGCAATGCTGTAGGATGCTGCCAGCCAAATGGAAAATGAGTAGCAGGAAGGGGCTGGATGCATGTCTCTTTCCTCTGGGATGCTGCAGTAAATTCCTGCAAAAAAATCTGACCCAAGTTTAGGGAAGCTTAACCCACAAAACAAATCTGCGTTCACTTATCTTACTGCTGGCACACATTGCTTTCCTGTCTTTTAGAACACTCTCATGCTGGCTGAATGTGTAGAACTGCCCTGGCTGTCTCACTTTGTCCTCTCCTTTTTGCTTTGATTTGAAGCAAGAAGTAGAATGAATGTGTATAAACTGTGGCATTTCTGAGTGTTGGAAGTGACTGGCTTAGGAAGAGGCAAACGGGAGAGGCATTGGAGCTGTCTTAACATGCCCGGTGTGACTCTGGGGTCAACAAAAAAACATTGAAATAGATTTCACAGATGCCTAGCATAAGCAGCAGACTTAAATACAGCATTATGGAAGGTTTTTACTACAGAAGTCCGAGGATGTGGTTTGGACAAATTCAGACTGAATACCAAATTCAGGCTGAGTATGACCTTCTCTACTGGAGTGTGCCCATGCTGCAAGGCTTGCTGATTACGAGTGAAAACCTTCCTTGTCTCAGTAACCAGCTACACTAAGATTAGTGGCTCTAATGCTTCCTTCAGTGGTTCTGATTCCCTTTAGCTGTGGTACTCTGTACTAATCTAGATAGTAAGTGCTAACTTGTTCTTGCCTTTTCCAGACATGGAAGAATGAAGGCTTTTTTGCCTTATACAAAGGATTTTGGCCAAACTGGCTGAGACTTGGTCCATGGAATATCATTGTATCCTTTTCAAAAGTGTCTGAAAACTCCTAACTAGGAATGCAACAGCAAGTAGATGATTGAACAAAATGTTTCACATGGAAGTTATGTCACCATAAATGTTCCTTTTTGAATGAATGAAATATTACTTCATTTCCCCAGTCAACTGCTTCCATGCAGATTCCATACATACAATGCATTCCAGAGAGTGAATCTTGGAATATTACCTCCTTGCAAAACAACTTTGTCTCAATTTCCTACCAGACTGGTTAGAAGAGGGTTTATTTCCAGAGTGGGTAGAACTGTTGGCAGTTGATCATAAAAGCCTTTTGTATTTCAAGCTGCCTCAATTTTAATTCTGTTAATCTGTTTCCCAGGGCTTTAGCAGCAGTTAATGGTAGTAATGTTCGCCTGTATGTGGACCTGTTAGACTAGTAAAGCAGAGTGACTCAGAACTCAAGTGCTTGTGTAATACTAGGAGTGGAAAAATTGGATTCACTAGCCCTGAAACCTCTGAGGTACTGCAGCACCCTGGCACAGGCTTCATTGGTCTGCAGAGTATTGCAGAATAAAAATGGCCGAGTGACCACATGATCTGCAAGGGAAGTAACAGCAGGATGGAATTTCACAGAAGTGCGTGTCCTCTAGTGAATGTAGCAGCAACTTTGCACCGAGTGGTCAACAGAGAACTCTTCCTTAATGAAGTGCCCCAGTTCTTTCTGACATATGAACAGCTGAAGAAGTTGGACTTCTGATGTGTTGAACTGTTACAAATTCTCATGCACTATCTGAATTTAGAGTAACTTAAATTGCTCTTGAGTATCTTCTCTTAGTGCCTGAGATGCTGTCAAAAGGAAAAGCTCATCACAAGACTGCTGCTAATTGGGACAGCCTAGGAGCGACGTCCAGGCAAACACTGGCTCCTGTAACAATGCTCTTGTGGGTCGCTGAATGATGTGCACTGCTTCCAATGCTGAACAAAAGTTGCTGGAATATTTTGTCAACTCCTAAGTGCTCTTGAATGTGAAGATCTGTATTGTAACTTGAAAGTGTTCTTGATGGTTTTTTAGATTCCCTTTTGGTAAAGGGAAAGAATCTTTCTCTGAAGGTGGATGAGTAGTACCAAGGAACTGGGGTACTGCTGTTTTCTGAATGTGTAATACCTGTGGCTGCAATAATGGCTATTTCAGAGCTCCAAAGGTAAAAAAAAAGAATGTGTAACGAGACATCTTTTTGTTTAGCCAAATACCTCCTGCAGAAAAATCTGCTTCTGGCTTTAGAGTTTAGCTGTGTGCAAAGTCTAGAAGTCCCAAGATACCAATGTAATATGCTGGAGTAGTCTGACTTCCTTTGCAAGTGTGGTGGTACAGTTGCCTGTTTTGTGTAGTTCAAGGAAAGTTGCTTTTTCAAATGCATTGCTCGTGGTTTTCAGTGTAAGAGGTTCTTGAACATTCATATGCAAATTGTTGTTTAAGGAGAAGTATGGACTGGTCAGAACTTCACCTCCTCTCACAGAGAAGCGTTCTGAGCTTCTTCCATTGTTGGGAAGAATGGCTTGTAACTGTGAGTCTCTTTTGTATCTTCTGAAAGATGCAAGCTTTGCACTGAGCAGCTCAGGCTGATTAATGTAGGTGTCTACACAAAGCTTAGAACTCCTGGAGAAAGGCAAGTTCAGTACAAAGACTACTTTCATTTAAAAACCAAAATCTGAGAAGTTTTAAGCACTTCTTACCAAAGAAGCTCAACCTGCTGTTATGTGCAGGTTAGCGCTTTTTGTAGAAATAGCAACTCCTTAGTACAGTTTATGTGTATCGAAGCTCCCATGCCATTAGCTTAAGAGTTGTTGCCAAGACTCTGTATGCCAAGCAAGGGAATACATGATGTGCGAGATGTGGTGTGTTCCTCCTGCCTTTGCAGGAGGTAGCAAAGGGTGCATGGTTTTACATTTTTGTGATATCGTAGTATATTAAAGTGACTTTTAAAGCATGTTGCTTAATTATACATTCCATTTAGTCTTACTGCAACTTCAAAATTACTATTGTCACTTAATTGCTAACTTTGAATTCACACAGTGACTTTTTTGAAATGCACAAGGCACTTTCTAAGGCACAAACGTTTTCTATGCATATGCTCCTGTGCACTTAGCTTTTCCCTGCAGCTCTTTCTAAGCTTAAATAGAAATATTTGTAGATATTTTTGTACAGGATGCAAACCTTGATATTTTGCATTGGAGCCTATTAAAAGTTTTACAGCTCTGTAACCCGTCTGTCCTTGCAGTCCTTGGGCTCGCGCTTGGGTCCTTGTGGCGGGGGGCGGAGGGGGGGA